ATTGCAAATGAATTATCTCTATGAACTTAAAGTTCATATTATTTTATTCGAGGATCTAGATGTATAAATGATAATTCATTCCACGTAATTTTTTCTCAACTGTTTATCATGTCTCTCCCTCATGTTAGAAAAACTAACTTGTTTCCTCAACTTTAAGAACTCATCTTTGTGCGTTATGGTGTTAATCAAAATATACACGGCACATCAATAATAATAAGATGGAATTATTTGGTTCCTGACCCTGAACCACTTGTGAGGGGAGAAAATAATATACTTTCATATATAACGTATATCAAACTGATATACAAAACTTTATTCTCATAAGCAATTATTTAGTTATTAAGTGGAGGCACTCAATAAATCATTTTGCTAAACCAACTGTGATGTAAACAAACTTATCAAGATAAACTATCTTGAATAAATAATCTGGAAATTATGCTCTAAATCAAATTATTGAGCAAGTTACCTCGCAAACACTATGTTGCGGGTTAATAATAATCGCATATGTAACCATCTCATAGATGCATCTTATGTGGTATACATGGCAGGTGAATGGGCCCATATTCACCTTTAATATTTCCAGCATTCATGGGATTCAATCCCAATTTTAGTTGGTATATTAATTAATGAGAACAAGTAACATAAGAGAATTCGTAAAGAACTTTCTAGTTCTTTAATATTTAGCCATGTGAATTCTCTTTTATTTTTGCACATCATACTTAAATTGATATGGGTAAACCAACTATGCCAACTGAATAAATTATCAATATTGATAAACTTCAGATTTACACCATGACGTATGCAATTATCAATAAACTCCAAGTTGATTATGATATGAGTTTTTATATCAATAAACTTCTCTTTATTGTGGCATTCTTTTGTTTGTGTAGTACAAGTGGAGAATAAAGCGGGTAGCTTTTCACATTCATATTACCCCGCTACAAGTTGTAGTAATAGAAGATATTAAATCTTTCCTTTATTTATAGTCTCAATATAATCAACCGCATTCGCGTTTACTTTGGAAACTGAATAAGTTTCTTTGAGACTTACTACAACACAATACCTTATTGGTAATTAATTATGTTTCTCCAAAATAGTAATAATTGTCTTTTCCAGAGCTCTCAATTAATTTGTGCTACCACAGATTCATCAACATCCATGTGGTGATATCTCTTTTAAAGAGAAAGTTATACCATTATGGTTATGGTCAAAATTATATGCAAGTTCTGTTTCTTGCATTATCGCTGTCTTTTAATAATCACAATGCCAAAATATTTTGGCGTACAATAAGTACGTGATCAATGACCATTTATGCCATAATAATGACATTATCTTCTTATTTCCTCTCAAACCTCCTTTTAGAGGTGAGTGTGGTATATACCACTAGCACGCTCATATTCTTCCAAAAATGAATATGTATTCTTAAATCAGATGTTGTCACATTCACATCATGAATGGATCATAATCATCTATATGTGCTTTATAAAATCTCATGTCAAATCGATGACAAATATTTTCACAAGTGGGGGATTATTTTGAGAATCCTTATTATTCTCATTATCACAATGATGACAATTATAATTTCGTCTATTGCCACGTCCACATCCATGATACTTCAAAGTGATAATTTTGTCTTCTTTCAGACTTATCACATACTGCTATCACATTCTCTTAAGGGAATGAGAATGAAGCAAATTCAATGGGACGGGTTTCCACTTTTTGTGCCCATAATCATACATGAATTTGATCATGGCAAGACATAGAAATTTTTACCACTTCAGGTGATTATAATTTCTTACAAACTCCATTAGAGTTATAATCAAACTTTGTTGTCTTTGCTTGTATATAAAATCAAATTGTAGAATTTCAAGAATTTAAAAGAGAAAAATAAAGTAAAATACTTACCTTAAATCCAGAATTTAATCATGAAGGAAGTTCGTGGAATAATTGACAATCATTATGCTCAATCCCAAAGCTTCTACTCAATTGGTTAGAGTCTCGTGCTGATAACGTGTTATGAACAATAAAAGAAGAAGAAGAATATTGCGGAGAAAAGTAGGGAGGGAATTCTTATTGATATTTTGGGATGATTTACAATGGAATATAACCATCTATTTATAGGGAGAGGGTGACTTAGCCACCAAGTAATAAACCCTAGAATCTCTCTAAATATAGACATTTACCATAAATAGAATTTTATTTATAACATTATTGTCATATTCAAAGAAAAGATCTTTAAAAAAGCCTCACCGAAAATAGTGCACAGAAAGGTTTCCTTTTCCATTCAAGAAGTGAGTATTCCCCCGCCCTTAAATGTTAGGGGATAAACTGTAGCATTTTTTTAAAAAATCATTTCACAAAACTTAAAATGCAAAAAAGAAAAAAGAAAAAAGAAATGAAGAAAAACACACACACACACTTTGTCATACCAGCACATGATAACATCCCTTGATGGTTTTTTGGCAAAATATGAAGCGCTCTTGTCAATAACATTCTTTCCATATCATCGTCGCCGACATCATCATCATCGTTGTCGTCATTATTATTAAATTTATTATTATTATTATTTTATTAATAACAATATTATTATTTCTCAAATAGTATATACATTTTTGTTTAAAGACTATAGTATTATTTTACAATTTACAGTGATCATATCTTGTTGTTAATACACATAATCATTTTGTTATTTTATTCATATTTTAAGTTATTCAAAAGTTTTTCTTTTCTTAATTTTTGAATTCAACTAGAAACATATTTAGACTAGGGAGTTTAGGTCAAGTATTATATTTTTAAAATATTTTCTTAATATCACAAATGAAAAACATTTGCAGATCGGTGTGGGATAATAATGGGTATGTTGTTGTTGTACAAATAAAAAACATTTTATGTAGTTCAAAATATGTAAGCTATTTCAAGGTTTTTTAAATATTAATTTACAAAAAAAAAAAGTGTTTTGATTCTTGTATTTAAACAACTTTTTCTTTTTGAACGGAATATGCGAATGAAGTCAAGCATAACTAGGCATATGTATCGCAAACGAATTTCTTATATCTAATGATCAACATGAAATTAGCATATTTTAAAATTAAACTATGTATACATCTTTTCTCGTTGTTAAGCAATTAATGAAATATCAAAGAACACAAATTGATGAGGACTCAAAATTGATGGTTAATGAAAATAAAAATGCCACAACCAAAAAGAAGAAAAAGATCCTTAGGGCAAAAAGATCAAAATAACGCGAAAAAGATTTTGATCGCACAAAATACTAAGAAAAAGTAACTTTTTTTTTGTTTTTTTAAAATTAGCTAAAGATTTCCTTCCAAACAATAATTTTTTTTTTTGATATTTTAGGAGTAATTTGAAGTCTTCGAATTTATAAGATGACTTCCATCAATTTTTTTTTTACTCTAAATTAAGGGGTTATTTTTTAATTAAGAATGCAAAAGAGGTATAATTTCCAAGAGGATAAAAACATAGCATACGAGATTTTTTTTAATTTCATTCTTCTTAATGACATTCATTAATAATAGGTAATGATCATTAACTAAAATTGACAGAATTTCTCTTTTCTACGGAATGCATAACATATAGACATTTCTTTTTTCATGCCTAAAACAAATTCAACGGATAAGAATAAGGACCCCAAAATTGACATTAATTATGATTAAATAGTCTGAACTCTAAACTTAATTTATATAAATTAAGGCAGAATGGCCTAAATGGCACTTATACTTGTCCCACCTTGTCATGCCGGTCCCCAAACTTCACTTGTTTTCATCTAGACACTTTAACTTGATAAAAACCTATAATTTAAACCCTTCTGACCGTTGACCAAGCACATGTGGCAAAATAATGGTTGAGCTGGACAAGTGCGTGTAATTCACGCAGATAATGAGCGTGAGTTTGAGCATTTTGAACTAGAAATAATTAAAATAAGAAGAAAAAATCAGTAAAATAAGAATAAAAAAATAAAATAAGTAAAAAAAGAAAAAGGAAACAGGTGAATCCAAATAACTGAAGCAACCAGGTGGATCTGTTCTTCCCCATGCCCACCTTTCTCTTTCTCCTTACTTTGATTTAATACCCAAGCGTATTTTTCCCTCCGACCAAGAAGTTGCAGGATATTCTTCCTCAATATTCACTAGTTGGGCCCTGATAATTTGGAGAATTTGAAGAAGCTAGTAGAGCAGTTCCACAAGCAAGCACCTATTGCTGCCCCATCTACCGGGGCGCCTGAAGGTGTTGCTGCAGATAATGAGGTGCCGGAACTTGTGGCTGGCCAAACCTTTGAAGCAGTCGATGTAGAGGAGGGTCACACTTCCTAAATTTTTAATTGAATTTTGTATCTACCCCTTCTCCATCTCAACGTTTTGAGATCCGTTTATTTAGATAAGTGTTCTATTTGATTTTGATTGTGACAACAAAAAAATTCATAGAAAGTTGGTTTTGTACCCGTAACCCCCCCCCCCCCTCTCCGTTTTTGTTCCCCATGTAAGCTTCTTCTTCTTCTTCCCCACTGACCCCCCCCCCTCCACAACACCCTCTCATGGCTAAACTCTGTTACCTCCACACTCCTTTTCTGTAACGGCTCATTAGCGGAAGCGTGAACCACGGAACCGTCGCCGACAACCTTCGCCGCCGACCCAAGTCGTCGCCATCATCAGGGACCAAACCTAAGCGGATAAGTATAAAATGAGGGAAAAATTTGGGTTGGGTTAATAATCATTTCCCATTTTATTTTCCTATGTGGCCATAATAAATGACTTGGAGCCTACGTGGTTTAATTTCTTGACGTGGCGTCCTACGTGTAGGAGATTGTATTACACATACTGATAGTGTCGTGTCATAAGCGTTTATTATTCACGGTTTAAAGGAGTGTAAGTGTTCAATTGGCAAATTGTTAAGTTTGGGGACCGGCATGGCAAAGTGGGACAAGTATAGGTGCCATTTAGGTCATTCTGCCATAAATTAATGCAATTAAAGTTTTCTGACGACACACATGACGTGACGCGACAAGAAAATACTCCTACAATCACATGTAGTATCCAATCTGGATCCACACCAAGATTGACGATGGTTAGTAGGTTTCCTAAATATACCGACAAAATTTCTATTTGCATACACTATCTTTTATTAGCAACTTTACTTAATTCTGTGTATTTAGGCAATTAGATTCATCTGGTTCATGTGTCTGAGAGAGCCGCTCATTCTATTTCCAATTCGATTTATCCCAGATCCTATATAAAAATTTGATATTACAATCCTCATATATAAATTATTTTTTGCATTTACCGATCCGATAATACAATTCCTTAATTCTTCTTCTTATTTTTACCTGGACTCCTGATATTGCTTTAATTTTACTCCAAAACTTTGACAGTAACTGAGCTTGCCGGCGATTCATTGCTGGGGATTCGTAAATTTTGCGGTGTATTTTGAAGATTCCTTTGTGGGTTTGCTTTTCCCAGCATTGAATTTTACCTCAATTGTTGGTTCACGAGTTCCTGAGGTAAAGATAGCTCTCGATATCTCTGTTATTCTTTCTTATAAGAAAAATTATAGGAAAAAAAGACGGTTCTTTGGGGTCTGAGTGGTGGATTTCGTGGAAATGAAATAAAATTAGGGGGGCATTTTAGGATTTTATTAGTTTCGTAATTTCATCTTGGTTACCCACACAAGTGTTGTTGCTTGCAAGATTGTATTTTCCCCCCTTTCTGATGTGAATTTACTGGAAATATTTATCTTTTTGCTCATTCTTTGCAATTTCAGTTTTCTGCAGGTAATGAGGTGGACTTGATGTTCAGGAATTGATTGAGAATTGTTTTGTATATTTGTTGCTACAGAAGTTGCTTTTAAGGCCCAATTTTCTGGCAATTGATAGCTTCAATACTCTCAAATTGGTCAAAGATTCAACCTTTTGTTGTTTCTTTTGGTTTGGGAGAATTGTGGTTCATAAGCCATAAACCCCATGTTTTCTTTGTGGATCTTGTAGAAGTTGCTATACATTTGAGAAGCTATGTCTTCTTTTTCATCTAAAGATGCTTCTACATTGTCCTATCCAAAGTCACTTTTGTCTATTGTAACTACAGTAGGAGGCCTTGCTGTGTTTTTAATCCTTGCTTCCTCATTTCTGGTCTCTCAACCTATTGGGGCTGCTGTCCACGAGTATTTTTATGGTGTACACCATCTGGATAGGGTAACATTTGATGGCGATGTAGTTATTAATGATACAGCAAATTTTAATCCTATAGCAGTAGAAAACAAAGAAAATGGAGTTGAGGATGAAAAGGACCAGACTTCCAAGCCTCAAGATGAAAAGAAAGAGTCAGATGCAAAGGGGGAATTAACTGAAAATTCACCCCAAACGACTATTTTGTCAGAATCAAATGATTCTGTGGCTCAACCACATCCTAAATTGAAGGAAGAAGATGGGGAGAGTAACAATTCCAGTTTGCAGAAGGAAACGAAAAATGAAGGGTCTCTTTTGTCCTCTGATACCCGTTCGGAGGATGTGAGGTCTTCATCTACTGGATCCAACGGCATAAATCAGACTAAGCTAGATCCAGGTTCAAGTTTCATCCTTGTCTTTTATAATCGGTATCTTGCTCAAATCTGCACGGCAGCACATTATCGTTTCTTTATTAGAGCTCATGAGCTGCTTTTCTGTTTTCTTCTCTAAATAATTAAAGCAAGTAGTTATTTCCCTTGATTTCTGAGTTGATGTTAGATTTCCTTATTATACAAATTAGTCGTTCATGAAACTGATTTGAAAATTAATAATTGTGCTTATGGAAAACAAACAATTCCAGGATAGCTTGAAGAAAAACTATTGCTACTTTGCAGCCTATTCCATCTTTAGTTCTGTGGTTTGCTGTTATATCCTACTTTCGCTGCTCCCTTCTTTTTGGGTCGCTAACGTAAATGAGATGCATAATTAGCTGCACACTAGCAAGTAGGGGGCGGCGACTAAAGAGGTAGCCATCAGAATGCTTGGTGTTCACTTTCCATCCTCGTGATATTTTATTCTAAATAGCTAGTCTACTGGTAGATGGATTTGAGCAAACTCAGTACAAATGGCTTGTTTGTGTAAGTTACTTGTATATATATATACTACGTTTGTGCTGCTCCAGTTGCATGTGGACGAAATAGGACCCTCCTGTAATTTTTTGAGACAATCGGAAGATTGAAGAATTGAAGTTTGTTTCTTCTTGTTGATGAAATTCTTATCACAGCGGTATTTAGCTTCAAAATTTTTGGCTAGCTGTAAGCAAACTTTTTGCTAAACCCAATACTTTGAGATACTGTTTGAAACTCTTAAAATCTATCTTTGTTAATGTTGCAGAATGTGATCTATATCATGGAAAATGGATTTATGATCTGACCGGACCATTGTACAGAAATGACTCCTGCCCCGTCCTGACACAGATGCAGAATTGTCAAGGAAATGGAAGGCCTGATAAGGATTATGAGAACTGGCGATGGAAACCTGCTCAGTGTGACCTGCCACGATTTGATCCAAAGAAGTTTTTGGAGTTAATGAGAGGAAAGACTTTAGCTTTCATTGGTGACTCAGTTGCTCGCAACCAGATGGAATCAATGCTTTGTATCCTTTGGCAGGTGACTTTACGCTCTCTTAAAAATATACAGTAGTTTGGTAGTTCTGGAGCATGGCTTAGATTAGCTATTGAGTGACCTTGAATCTTGATCCTTTTGTTACTTTGTGCAATTTTTCCTTTGACTTTGTCTTGTCTTTTAATTTTTCAGTATCTTATTCTTTTCTCTCTATATTGAAGATACCAGCTATGTTTCCACATGAAATTTCACAACTCTTCTGGAGTTCGGAGAAAGTGCTGCTATTTCTATCTCTTTCTTTGTTAAGATTAAAAGTTCGATCCAATTCTTGGACCTTATCTGCTTAGTCCTTTTGTCTGCCTGCTTATTCTTCCCTGTGCATGATCACTCTCTCTGTTTATGGTCCAGCGGACTTGTTTTATTCATTTTCATTAGGGACACAAAGGGCTTAACACATTGAAGTTGAATTTACCTTATTGAGAAAAAACGGGGTTATTGTTCGTAGCATATAAGTTACAGTTCTCAGCTCCTGAAACAAGGACAGGTTGTAGTCACATTTCCCCAATTTTTACTCCAAAACTTTCCCCTATAGGATGGGCCGCGGTTCAGTTATAATGTACTTAGTTCTTGTATTAGGATAGTCACAACATTGATATTCTCAACTCCCCAGTTTAGTTAATATCAATAAAAACATGTGAGCTTGCTTTTGTGCATTGAAAATCTGTGCTGGTAGATACCTGATCAGTTCAGTGTCATAAACTGGTAAACTGGTAGATACCTACCATTTAGAAATGTAAAGGTTTATTTGGTTCACATGAGTGTAGGTTGGATACAATCTCCTAGAGTGTTGATCTTGGGGTTGTAGGTTGGATACAAACTCATGCGTGGGATGGTCAAACATGTGTCATAAACTGGTGATCAGGAACATTGCGGCAATCAGTTATTGTTTACTCCTGAAAAGAACCTGGAATAAAAATAAACTTTCATGCCAAAGAAATAAAATAGAAAAATAATGTGGTTGTGGTGGCAACTCGTGCAAGGAATGGTCAAAAGGGGCCTAGTGGGAAAGTTGTATAGGGGGACGAGGTAGACAAGTTGGACATGGAGCATATATGTCGACACACCATGAACAAAGCGCCCAACAGAAGCTCTCTGCTATCTATCACTTTAATTTGTGAACGTAAGTTTATTCTGGCTGGAATGGTCAAAGGGGGGCCTAGTGGGAAAGTTGGATAGGGGGAAGAGGTAGACAAATTGGACAAGCATATATGTTGACACACCATGAACAAAGTGCCCAACAGAAGCTCTCTGCTATCCATCACCTTAATTTGTGAACGTAAGTTTATTCTGGCTGGATCATTGATGTTACTCATTTGAAGCATATGTCCTCTTGGTCAAGTCGTAGAAGTGGTAGTAGCTTAATTGGGGTTCCAACCACTAAATGCTGTCTGTTTAATAGTGAGTTGTAGTGCCCTGTCAAGAGTTCCAGAATTATATTCTTATCTGATGACTACGCTTCTTTTATCCTAATTTGGCTGTCGTGCATTATAGCTGTTTACATTTCAAAAAATGAAATCTTTGCCGAGAGAATATCCATAAAGCCACTTATTAAAAAGAAAAGAAAGAGATTACCCATGAAGTCCTTAAAATCTCCCAATTGAAGTTACAGAACTTTAGACATGCTTTACATATCTTCCCAAAGCACATGTTTTTAGAAGACAGGTGTTGGTTCCATTGTGCCTCTTCATCTAATTTACTTCTTATTTTTTGGCAGTATGAAGTTCCAAAAAATCGTGGAAACAAAAAGATGCAGCGATACTATTTCAGATCCACATCTACTATGATTGTTCGGATTTGGTCTTCATGGCTTGTCAACCAAACATCTGAGCCTCTTGATTTCGCGCCAGCAGGTGTAGTTAAGCTCCATCTTGATGTTCCTGATGATGGGTTCATGCAATATATCCCCCAGTTTGATGTCGTCGTGCTCTCCTCTGGCCACTGGTTTGCAAAGCAATCAGTATACGTGTTGAATAATGAGATTGTTGGGGGACAATTATGGTGGCCCGACAAGTCTAGAAAGATGAAAGTCAACAACATTGAAGCCTTTGGAATCTCTGTGGAAACCATCCTGACTGCCATGGCAACACATCCGAATTTCAGCGGTCTCACCATTGTACGTTCTTTCTCTCCCGATCACTACGAGGGCGGAGCATGGAACACGGGAGGATCATGCACCGGAAAAGTGAAACCTGCAGAGGATGGCGAACTTGTTGAAAATGGCTTTACAAACATAATGCACGAAAAACAATTCACCGGTTACACTCGTGCTATTAAGAAGAAAACCAACAAGTCCGCCATACAATTTATGGATATCACAGAAGTCTTTGCATACCGCCACGATGGACATCCTGGTCCTTACCGAAGCCCCGACCCAAATAAGATCACAAAAAGGGGTCCCGACGGTAAGCCTCCTCCACAAGACTGCTTGCATTGGTGCATGCCAGGTCCTGTTGATACGTGGAACGAGTTGGTGTTTGATCTCATAAGGAGAGACTTCCAGAGTAGACAGAGCAATGCTTCATAAGAAGAAGGATCCTTGTTGCTAAAAAAACATTTTTTGTGCTTCTACAGCACAGCTACGGGAAAGATTATTTATCTCTCTGGAATGGAGTTTAGCTTGTAGTTACTTCAGATCTCTTGTTGTAGCTGGTGTTGTAATCTATATTTAGATATCCACGGTAAGATAAATCATAAGTTACACGAAATTTTCACAGGTCTCTAAGTATGTGTGCAGGGATATTTAACTAAATACAAACGCTTCTTTGCAATAAAATGTTCCATCTGATTTTTCCCTCGCCCATTGTATTTTCGCCCTTTTACGGCTTCATTTAAAAAATTGGCATGAAAGACAGGTTATATTCTTTTAGTGGAAACAATTGATTTTCAATTTTTTTTTTTTTATCAAACGGGCAATTGATTTTCAAGGGCTGTTTTCTTTTGAGGACACTACGTAAGATTTCGATAAATAGTTATCAGTCATTATTAAGTCTAGTAAAAAGGAAGAAAAGAAGTGCACATTCAATAGGTTATGCTCTATTCTTAATGAGTTCTGTATTTTGCTCCGTCAGATGAGTGGTACGGCTTTAAATTGTACAAAAAAAAAAGATATTTCATAATTGTTTTTGAGTGGAATCTAAACAATTCATTGATAGTAAAGAAATTCGAACATGCAAACATAATCGTAAAGCTGACCAGGAAACCTTGACAAAACATACTGCTATCTGAGCAATTGAGGTGGCAGCAAAGAGACGAGAGAGTGAGAAAGGCGTATGAAATTAGTTCATAGTTCAAACAGGGTCCATTTGTTTTGTGGCCCATTAATTATTTTATTTAGCTTTATGTGAAATATTTACACCTAAGAGATTTAAAAATAAAATATTTTTCTTATCAAGAGAAGGGAAAACATTTTCCAAAACTCTTTCTCAACCTTCCCCACCCCATCCTCTCTCCAAAAAAGGCTTGTTTTTTTGTTTTTCAAATTTCAGTTTCCCGTTACCACCCACCCTACTACCCCTCCCCCCAATCGCAGTTTTTTTTTTTGCAATTTCAAATTTCTGTTCTTTCGCTTTTTTGTACCACCCAC